GGGCCTTTCTTCCCTAAAACCTGCCCTTACCTAGGAAAAGCTGAGCAGTTCACAGAGTTGCTGTTTCCAGCCCAGCTTCCCAAAGGATTTCTCTCTCCTGGCAGCACAGACCCTCCCCGCGGGGGGGGTGCAATGGCAGGGCACATCCGAACCCGGCCCTGCCACCTGCCGCTCTCTCCGCCCCTTCTCCTGGCGGCGGCACGCAGGTGCAAGTTTCTCCGCAGAGGCGAGAAACTTGCCTGTCTCTTCCCCTGCCTGCAGTCCCCGATGGCCGCGGGAGAGGCAGAAGAGCGGCCGCATCTCCCGGAAAGGCCGACGTCATATCTGCCGCCGTGGGTGGCTTCCGGGGGGGGAAGGCGGCGGCGCAGCCCCGACAGCATCTCCGGGGCACGGCGGGACCGAGCGGGGCAGGAGCGGGAGCGGAGCGGAACGGAGCGGAGTGGAGTCCCGCCCTGTCCCCGCGCCGGGAAACGGCGCGGCGAGACGGCGCTGCGGGCGCTGCGGGCGCGGGTCCGGGTCGGGGCGGAGGTCAGGCAACAGGATAGACGCCTCTCTGAGGGAAGGGGGCCTCTCGCCGCCATCTTGTGTGTGGCCTCAGCTAACTTCCGGTCGCGGCGGCGCCATCTTTGGTGTGGCCTGAGTAAACTTCCGGTCTGGGGCCGCCATCTTTGGGACGCCCTTGGAGGACTTCCGGTAAGAGCGCCGCCATCTCTGTGGTTGGCCTCGCAGGGAAGACTTCCGGTCCAGGACGCCGCCATCTTGGGTGGTGCGCCGCCCAAAACAGTCCGGTCGCTCTCTACTTCCGGTACCCCCCGGACAACGTCCCTCACTAATTTCTGCGCTTTCGCCCGCAAAATCTTCATCTTATTCCCCCCGCACGCACCCCGGGAGAGACGGGAGACCACGGGGCCCGTCGTGCCGCGGGAACCGGCCCTTAAGTGGAGCAGGGAGCGCTGCAGCGGCACGAGAGCCACTGCGCATGCGTCGCCGGGCCCGCGCCTGGCCGCCCTTGGTGATCACATGATCGCCGGCGTCTTCCTAACGACTGCGCATGCGCCTACGCCGCCATCTTGCCTGCCCATCCCCATCGCCTCGCTCCCCGGCTTCTCGCTGCGCGCGCCTCGCCCGCCTTTCTGGCGGCCCGCCCGGACATTTCGCGGCTCCCCAGCCGCCGCTTTTTCGGCTCCCGGGGCTTCCCCCACCCACCCACCTTTTGGGGGCCGCTTCTCACATTTTAGGGGTGAATCCCCCCAAAATACGGCTCGGAGGGCGGGGGGGGAGAGTAAACCGGGTGCCCAAGAAGGGGTTTCTTTTTTTTTTTCCTCTTTGATTTCACTTTTCATTTGATTGCCTTTTTAGTTTTCTTGCTTTTCATTTTTTTTTCATTTTCTTTTGTATTTTATATTTCCTTTTTTATTCCGTTTATTTTTTATTCTCTTTATTTTTCATTTTCTCTCCCAGTGCTCCCCAGGAACACCCAGTGCTCCCCAAAAATTGACCCAAAACTGACCCCAATCACCCCCAAAAGTGACCAAAAACTGACGCCTAAAACTGACCCAAAACTGAACCAAATCACCCCAAAAAATTATCCAAAACTCACCCAAATCACCCCAACAACTGAACCAAATAATCCCAAAAACTGACCCAAAACTAACCCCAAATCACCCAAAAAATGACCTCAAACTGCCCCCAAAACTGGCCCAAATCACTCCAAATTCTCACCCCAAACCGGCCCAAAATCTGACCCCAAAAACTGCAAAAAACCCCCCACAAAACTGATCCAAAATCACCCCAAAAACTCACCCAAAACCAACCCAAATCACCCCAAAAAATGACCCAGAACTGACCCCAAACACCCCAAAAAATGACACAAAACTGACCCCAAAACTGACTCAAATCTCCCCAAAAAATGACCAGAAAATGACTCAAATCTCCCCAAAAATTGACAGGAAAATGACTCAAATCTCCCCAAAAAACTGGCCCAAAACTGACTCAAATCTCCCCAAAAAATGACCAGAAAATGACACAAATCTCCCCAAAAAATGACCATAAAAAGACTCAAATCTCCCCAAAAAATGACCAGAAAATGACACAAATCTCCCCAAAAAATGACCAGAATATGTCTGAAATCTCCCCAAAAACAGACCCAAAACTGACCCCAAAACTGACCCAAATCACCCCAAAAAAAGGCCCCAAAACTCACGCAAAAACTGGCCCAAATCTCCCCAAAAAACTGACTCAAAACTGACCCCAAAACTGACCCCAAAATCTGACCCAAATCATCCCAAAAACTGACCCCAAAACCTGACCCAAATCATTCCCTAAACTGACCCAAATCATCCCCAAAACTGACCAAAACCAGGCCCAAATCACCCCAAAAACTGCCCCCAAACTGCCCCAAATCCTCCCAAAACCTGACCCAAAACTCTGCATTTCTTTGGCATCATTTCCTCTCAAAAGCAAACTCTCCAACTGAGTTTATTGCTAAAGCCATCCTTTTCAAATCATCTCAGGAATGCAAAGGGACTGGAAAACACAGAGAAATCCTTCCTCCCCCCAGCAAGTCATTCTTTATTTTTCATTTTCTTTTCTTTTCTTTCTCGTTTGGTTTTTATTTTTTTAGTTCTTATTCTCCCTGAGAGGGAAACACTGCAGCTCCTCTGGGCCAGAGAAAGGCTCCCCTGCTCTTCCCTTCAACACAACGCCTGCAGTCAGTGCCCTGGAAGCCTGCTCGGCTCATGCCAGGCACCGGGGCTCACCCAGAGGGGCTTGGCCACCATCCCGTGGAAATTAAAATTCCAGCCTGGGCAAAGGCCCTTCCGGCAGGAGCGCTCCTGGCCAAGGCCACCGGCCCGTGCAAGTCAGAGCACTGAGCAGCCGGGGGGATTTTCAGGGGCATACTTCCAGCTTTTATTCTCCAGAAACTCCAGTTCTCTCTGGCACCCCTTGCCAGAAAGTCTTCCCCTGTTGGAAGAGGTCACTTAGTCTTTCGAGGGGCCACATTGCCGAAGCCCGGCCGGTCCATTCCCGCAAGGAAAGGCAGCTTTGTCTTGGACAGGACACTGGGCGGGGGGGGGAGACACAAAAATAAAAGTTTAATTTAAAACTTCCTAGAATAGAAAGCAATTCAAACATAAGGCAGACAAGACTTGGGCAAAACCGAATACGTTTGACTTCAAAGGACAATTCTTTCCCTCCGCACCTACCAGAATGTCATTTTCACCCAGGTCCTGCTCACCATCGGCGAACAAAACATGCTGACAAAATTTTTCATGATGGCAGTGGAGAGATATTAGAGCACACTGCACAGGGAAGCTGGGGCTGCCCCATCCCTGCAAGTGTTCCAGGCCAGGCTGGGTGGGACTTGGAGCAACCGGGGACAGTGGAAGGTGTCCCTGCCCACGGAAGACAGGGTGGCCTTTAAAGGGCCCCTTCAAACCAAATCACTCTGTGATTCCCCTCCAAAAGAACTACCAAAGAGACACAGCAATCAAAGCAGAGGGACTGCACGTCCAGCTTTCCTTACCTGCAGGCATACAGCACGCTGGACAGAAAAGCCATAGGGTTAGTCCTGCCACAGGTGTCCGGCACACACACGGCAACCGAAGGAAAAGAGGAAGCCTGGGAACACAGAGCAAAAGACACTTTAATTAGGACTACAGTGAGCAATAGCCAGGTCATTCTCACACACAGCTTCACTGGCCAGTCACACAAAAAGCACTCACCCAGGCCTCGGGTAGGATGGTTCCTGACGCTGACCGGGAGAATCCCTCCATTTGCCCCGGGGTGTCAAGAATAACATCCCTGGTAAGAAGTCACCCCCAACAACAAAAAGGGAAAATTAGTGAAGCACGGGGTCCTCTTCTGACTAGATTACCACCAGCATTCCATAGCAAATGACATGACTGTTCTGTCACAGAGGAGAAAACCCTGTTCTCCCAAACAAACAGTGATGAGATTTAGGGGCACGCCTGAAAATTTCCTGTGAGAAATTTGTAACTAAGAAGTATGTGCTATCTTGAGCTGAAGGCATCAATGTGACAG